CGATGTACACTTATATTACACATTGAACATTGAAGTAATTCATTAGAATTATTTTCATAATTGGTATAAAATGTTTCTGACATTAATAAAGAACGAAATAATAATGAATCTTTTCGATTATTCTTATTAATATTAAAAAAATAACAAATTGAACAAGATGGTGATGATTGATTACATAACCATCGATTATATACTTGTTCAGATTTATGATTTAACAATTGATAATTCCAAAGACCATTAAGAATATTTTCTCGATATTTACCTGATTGTTTCAAACCGTTAAAATATATTGGTGAATAAGCAGAAGAATAAGAAAAAGAAAGTTTCGTTATTACAGCAGCTGTTAAACATAATAATTTAGTAGAATTTTTCTTCTGATTTTTATTCATTTTAAATTGTGCTCGATAAAGTGCAGCTCGAATAAGTGGAATTGTACATTGATAAGTTTTTAAATGTTTCTGTTTATCAAATTTAGCTAAATTACGAAATATACAAGCATATCGTTCATCTGCTATATGTTCATGATGATAATATTGAATTTGATCGTTCGTAGTTGGCGAAGATTCCAAATCACCTTTTGAAGAAGAAAAAAAAAATTTAGTTTACATAAATACGAGTCCTTCTAGGAAGTGAAACTGTTTCCTCCTCTCAAACTGGTCAGATTTGGAGCCCACTTTTCTCAAACTTTATCCTGGTTACATCTTTGGTTTAAAGAAACAGTAGGTATTTACTTAACTACGAGAAAGGTTATTACATTACTCTGTTCAACTTACTTTTATTTGAATTTTGATTAGTTAATAATCGTTTTTTTATCAATGAATTGCTTAAAACAGGTTTATTTATTTTTGACAATTGTATATCTTCAGGGTGTGGTGTTAAATTAACCCCACGACACCAATCTTCATAACATTCCGGTTGATATTTATATACAAATTGATCCATACTTATTTTAACCATATCATCTCGACATGTACATTTTGTTGAATGTTTACCATATTCAATCCAACGTTCTAGAGCAAAATTCGTTGATTCAGCACAATTAAAACCATAATTAAATCCCGCATGATAACCATAAGGAAATGTTATCATAAATTCATTTTCATATTGTGTCATTTTACCATATGGTATGGATTCTTTTGTTAATAATGCTGGTGAAATAATTGTCATTTTATGTCGAAGAAATGCCGGACATCGACGTGCCAATGAAGCAAAACGAGATGAAGCATATTGTTCAAATTTTCTACCATGTGATGGTGGAATAACATACCTAAAACGAACATATTAATAAATATCTATTTGAAATAAATATTCAAATAAAAAAGATTCATTGCAAAATAATACTATTTATATATTCTTACTTATCTATTATGTATTTCTAAATGATATTAAACTATACATATATATATATATGTGAAAAGAATATGGATTTATTTTGTATGCTTACCATTGTTTTGGTGCTCCAAAATGAAGATAATTAATTGAATAGAGATCCATATCTTCAGTATGCCAAGCAAAACTTGCTTTCCACATACCAAAATATAAATAAGGTGTATTAACACCTTGAATTTTCGTTCCCGATTCACTAACAAGATCATCAAGAATTGTTCCCAAATTTCTAACATTCCAAATTGTTTGATTTTCATCCGTGAACGAACCACTTACATCTAAATAAGAAATCTAAGTTTTACTATATGTACATACAAGTAAAGCTCGTCCGAGGACTCGCTCAGCTCTTTCTCATAGAACCGATATGTCTTCGCTACCAGCAAATTATTTATTCGAACAATTTCAAAACCTGACTTCAAATTTAAATTCCGCGATCTTGATAACCGTTCGGTCAGCCCTTATAAAAAAGTGGTCCTTTGTGTGAGAAAATGGTCCTCAAAAATTTTTCAAAAACTAACATCAGATTCGAGTTTCTCGACCGCGATTACCCTTTAGTCGAACTTTTTAAGAAGGGATCTATTTTAATGGTTCCATTTTATTTTTCGACCAACAGCGAAGTGCGAACACCCAATCAATTAGACAATTTATGTTTACTGGACTCTTATCTACGAGAATTTACAAACAAGTAACGCTCGTCCGAGGACTCGCTTAGCTCTTTCTCGTAGAAATGCATCCTCTTCACATTTACTGAAAAAACAATTGAAACCCGTGAAAAATCAGTTTTCGATGTTTTTTTGACCTCTGCGGACAGACAAGTAGACAATTTATTTCTACTAGACTCTTCTCTACGAGAAAGAGAATAATATTAACAAGACTATCTGAAAAATCTCCAAAAAACATACCAGCTCCATATATAGGTGCATTCGATGTTAAACTTTGCCAATATTTTTTTTCTAATTTTTCTAAATCATTTGATATTGCTTTGGGTGCTGCATATCGATTTGATGCTGATAATTTTTGAAATGAACTTAATTTAATGGATGGTTGTTGAATATTAAATACAGAATAGACTCCATCTTTTCCATGTACTTCTTGTTTTATTGGATTTTCTACCACTTTTTCATCGATTCGTTTTTGTTTATAACCCGTTTTACATGCAATCCATTCTTTTGGTGGAACAATTTTTGCTAAACCAATTTTATGTGCATGACGTGCTTCAATCGATGAAATAAAAGCTGAAAAATCTTTAAATTCGTCATAGGTTGGATAAAACACTGGTACTTCTATATGTGAAGATACCATTGATATCTGTAACAAAAAAAACAAAAAAAAATATATCCATGATCATTTTTACTTCGAATAAGAAAATAAATTTTGTAATACAAAAAAAGAAATGTTCGAAAAAAAAATAAATTAACAAGAAAATTTTTAAAATTTTGTTTGTTCACAAGCATGATTTAATTTTTGTGCATGATTTAATTTCGTATATTGTGTACGACATTTATGACCATAATAACAATTATCACGATTACGCATTATCACCGGAGTTATATCATCTTGTTTCATACTAGCACGAAATTGATAAGCTAATTCTTTAAACATTTTTAAACCGCATTTATAACAAGTAATTTTCGATGAAGGAACTAAAAATAAAGTAATTTTGTTAAAAAAATTCGAATAAAGTCATGAGAACTTACTAGCAGCATTGCGATCAATACCGGTACAAGTGAATTCATTTCGATCTAGACGATCACAGCATTCGATAAGTAAATCACGCATTGTCTTACGATTAGTTGTAAGATAATCCTTAATAAGTAATTTTACTACTTCTTGTATATATGTATTTCATGAAACTTACTTGAACAATTTGTGATTCAACAGGATTATCATTAACAAGATTTGTGAGATGACGAGGAGAAAAATTAAAATCTATAAACAAAAAAAAAAATTTCTAAAATTGGGAATAAAATAAGATCATTATTACCTCGTAAACGATTCAAACAACCTAAACATCCAGGTCGTTGACATTGTTCAAAATAAATATTGCAAAAAAATTGATGACATATTTCACCTAATAAATAAAATATAAAAATATCATTAAAAATACTTAAATAACTACTAACAATTTTGATGAACATCAAGTTCGTCTCGTCGATCTGGCATTGGTTGAACACAACATTGACAAAGAATATGATTTTGATTTGCCGGGCATTGAAAACCAGCAACTACTGCACCAGCTACAAAGCAAAAATCCATTATCTAACCAAATCGAACAGTAAACCTACCTCCTTGTGGACATTGCCGACAAACAAATCTGACATTAGCAACAGCAGGAAAAGCTATTGCTGGTGGTGCACTACAAATCAGATATTCTTCAAATAAAATTTTTTCATAAAACTATACTTACAAGTGCATATTATTACCATCGTCATCATCCTCATCTTCCTCTTCCTCCTCCTCCTCATCATCGTCATCATGTACCTACAATATCATATAAACATCTTCAATTTAACAATAAAAATAACTATACTTCATTATCATCATCTTCGTCCTCATCTTCCATATCTTCATCCTCATCATCATGATCATATTGTGTATTATGTAGATACATTCCATCAGGACCAACCTATATAAACAAATAAATATTTCAAAATCTATCCAAATATTCTTGTTTCAACAAACATCATATTTGCCATTTTTCATTTTCTTTGAATAAATATCATCATCGTCTTCTTTTGGTGCTGGTCGTTTATGTGGATATGCTTTAAGATATGCTTCTAAAATTCCATTAATAACAAAATTTTTCTTCTTGCCAGTTACTTTAACACGACATTTCGGACTAAATTAAAATTAAACATAAAGATAATCAATTATCTATTTAATTACCAAGATCGTTGAACAGCTTCCCACGAAGCATAACAATCGCTACAAAATGCATGTAAACATGGTTCAAGACTAATTGGATTAGACATGATTTCTTGACAACACACACATGTTAATACATCTTCCATATCATCACCAGCTTCCATTGCAAATTCTTTTTTAGGTTCTTCACGTGTTTTAATTGGTTTTATTTCAACATCTGTACTTGTATTCATTAAATTAGATAGATCAGCATTTTCTTTGGTTTCTATAATGAATAATTATTAATATTATTATAATTTATTTTGTGATTACTAACGATTAGGTGATAGAGTCGGAATTGATGGATATGAAGTTATTTGTGTATCTAAGAAAATGAAATAAATTTTTAAAACAAAAAAGTGATATATTTACCCTCATCGTATGGAGAGATTTCTTCGGTGGGTTGATTTTCTGGTTGACTTAGTAGTGGTAAATCTATTTGAAACACAATATCTAAAATAATTGAATAAATTTAGATTGTTTTTCTTAATTTCGAATAGATAAACTAACTTGAATCTGGATCATCTTTTCGAAAAACTAGATGCACAACATCATTCGTATGAAGTTCAACACGCTAAGAGTAATTATCAAAGCAAAAACTGTATTTTTTTTCTCTATACAAAAGATCAACTTACTTGATCATTTTTGCTTATTTTATTTGATCGATTTATTAATGTACCATTAGAACTTGTATCACGTATAAAAAGATGACCATGATCATACTCAAATATACAGTGAGAGGAGGATATGTATCGATTATTTACAATAGATATATCATTAGCTAAAAGAAGAAAAAATAGGATATAAAAAATCTCTTTTTTTTGGTTTTGTTAAATATTATCTATTTGATAACTAAAGTTCTATCTATCTATTATTACGCAATACACGTCAGATACGTTTACACCTGAGGAACATTTTTCTAAATATATCCTCATCAACATATTTTCTCAATGAGTCATATGTATTTTATCATCGCTACTATATTCGTATAAATGTTCTGCTTCACTGCCAAATCAATTTTTACTATCTACGCATCATTTTATTAATAAACAGAAAATTTTATAAAAAATACTTCCTCAGAATATCAAGATATTCATCAGTTCTAAACTATATATCTATATTTCCATATGATATCTATTATAAACATCAGAAGATATATAAACAATTGTATAGGATGTATTATACATACTGCAAATGCCTTTTTTACTTAATAAAACCATCTAATATTTACATTCCTACAGAAGAAATGTTTAATTTGTCAAAATAAAAGATACTTTCATGATCATTCAGATGGCATTGTCTATCTCGGATTACATTTTTAGAAAAAAAACCTTGTTAATTAATTTATTTACTTTCAGAACGACCAATCTTGAATTGATCTTTGTAAACAGATATTATATTGTGATTGTTTAAATTTTTTAAACGATATAAAGCAGATACATCCATTGAGGACATCTGAAAATAAATGTATATATATATATATCGATATTTAAATGACCTCGGAAATTTTGTATATAGAAATTGAGTAGAAAGATTTCTAGGTGAATGTATGACACTGCCCTCATGTTTACAATAGATTAGAATGCTTTCTCTCTCTCTTATTTGATTAACTGTCATTAGCTACTTTTTTTTACATTGTAAATGATTGACTAAGAAACGAAGAAAAGAAAGAGGATCATATATAAGGAAAGGAAAAAGAAAACAATAACAACACACAGATGCAATAACACAATAAACAAATCTATTTGATTGATTTAATTTCTACACCAACGAAATTTTTACTTGAAATTTCTACTAAAAATTTAATTATTAGAAAACTATTTATACATAGTTTTTTATTATTAAAATGAATTTTTATTCAATTTTACTATAGACATCTATCTATTTCAGAATAGGTGAAAGAATCAACCAATAGGATGTAATGATCGAAACCAGCTATCGATTAATGATGTTAAAAGGAATATGAGAACTTATTTCGTAGTAACGAAACATCAATTTGACTTCTATTGTAAATTTTAAAAGATTGAAATACTTTAGGAAACTACTTTCCGTTAAATTCATTTGTATAAATGATGTAAAAGATCTCTTTGAAATCTATAATTGTCAATATGTTTGATCGATTTAGTTCGTCAACGATCTTGTTCTCGAAATGATTAATAGAAGAGTACCAATTATTTTATCATTGTAGCAACAACATGAAAATATCCAGATCGGTTATAAAATTCGACAATATATGATATATATATAGAACTAATTGAAGAGACTTTGTCTAGCAATACTCTCGATTGATATTAAAAAAAAAGATTATTCCGATATGTTATTTATGTATAGAGATGTTCGTATCACATGAAAAGATAATTTTAATATTGATTTTTAAGATTTGTTAAACATAATGGGCGGTGCAGTAAGTCGAGGAACTCGATTTTTACGTATGTATAATATCGATAATCGAGTCGATAAAGTTCTATCGAAAGAAAAACCAATTCCTGCTCCACGACATCCATCTGTTGAACAATCAATAGATATTGAAAGTAAAAAAATAATTTTTAATTCTTATATACAATTATAATCCGATAATCATTCTTTTTAAGGTAATATCGCACCTGAAGCAATTCATAAAAAGAATAAACAATTAGTAAATTATTTACATGATGTTAAAGTCTATTCAAGTGGTGACAATCCAGTTATACGCCGTGTAGGTGATACAAGTAGTCATCCAACAATATCTCCGTTATTAAATCGCCTCGATGACGCATTAGATGAAAATAGTCCTGATGGTGCTTTTGGTTATGTTGAACCACAACGTATTCCACCTGGTCGAATATCATTACGTCAATTTCTTGCTTATCTACAACAACATCGTGATTCACCGGAAGAATATTCTATTGAACGTTTTAGTGATATGTATACAATTAAACCCGAAACAGCGAAGAAAGTCTTTAAATATCATAGTTTATTAGCATTACAAGAATTTACTCGTCAACAAAGTAAATCACCAGCAAAAGCACCTCATCTTGTAGCAGCTGAAATTATAGAAATTGAAAGTCAAGCAGCGAGAAAACCAGGTCCTGAAACAGGCATAACTTCAAAGTTTTAATATTTATATTTTTGTTTGTGTGTATTTTTTCTCTTTAGAAATAAAAGTACAGATTAGTATTTTTTTTAAACATATTATATAGAAAAAAGAAAGAAAGAAAGTCTTAACCTAATTCAGAAGGTGGATATCGATTTTGTATTCGTAAAATTGCATCTTTCCATTGATTAAATGTAGTGTCATTCATTTGCCAACCAACATGATATTCGTGTTTACCATGTTCATCTCTTACTACATAAGTTAATACCATATGTGGATGATCAGTACGATAACGTTTATTAAAATCTATTAATTGAAAGAACACATAATTGGTTCGTAATTTTCAAATAGAATATTTTTTCTTTACATGATTGTTGTCGAATTCCGATAACTGATAAGACTGGTATACGTAATACGCCTTGATCACCACAACAACCAGTTCGAGTTACTTGTGAATATAGACAATCTTCAGTTAAAGCTATTTCGGCATTTCCTAACGTCTGTAGATAACGAAAAAAAGTAAAACACTATGATATTTAAGTTTGTGAAAAAATTGAACGAACTTGCAATCGACCTCTTTCAGTCGTTCCACTGTAGATTATTGAATCTTGTTGAGTTCGTAATACAAGTGGTTGAAGATAATCAAAATCGATAATTTCTCGTGAACAGAAGCAACCCATTTTCTAATAATAATAGGTAAAAATCACTTCATAAATCAATCAAATCAGAAGCGTGACTGATATGAGTCATAGAATGGTTTCACACAAAGAAAACGTGGCAGATGGCGATGGTGAATGACAATAAAATGAATTTCTTTGATAATTATATATTTTTGATATTCGATATAGATGTGTCATTATTTAACGTTGCTTTTAATATATTTTCTTCAATCTGATAACAACTACGAAGTTTCATCCCGTGATCATCACTGTTAATCAATGGATATATAGTGTGAATTTATTGCACAATCTACCGTTAAAAGAAGATCATATAGCTAATGGAATGAAATCTATATAGAAATTTTGTCTATTTTTGGGTGTGGGTGTGGATATGAGGTGAGGAAATGTATGTTGTCTCCAATCACACCAGAGCTTCTCGAAGGATTCTCACTACTGGTGGCTTCAACGAAATAAGCTTATCAGATTATTTTTAATATTTTCACACATTTTATTTGTTGGGTCTTCTGTAAGTAATAAACTTAGAATAAAAATTTTCCGGATATCTTGAAAACACCTGAAATTCGTATCCGAAGTTTTCTTCTATATGCTTTGATGTGCGCAGATTTAGGTTAGTTGATAAATTATAAAATATTCTCCAGATGTTGTTAATAAATTATACTACTTAAAATTTTAATTATCTACCATTCTTCTGACACAACAAGTACATTGATTAATTAATTATAGTCAATTTCTAAAGTTATAGATGAAATGTATGCTAAAATAGACTATTATCTTATTCATATGAATGTTACAAAAAGGATTTTATTGTGTTATTTATTTCTGAAAATTATATGAGATACTAGTACAACTAAAATCATTTATTTATCGATGACTTTTTCATATACGTGTATGAATAATTGAAACTTCATAGAATTTCCCATCTTTTTTCATTTTCTTTTCAGTCATTATTAGTATAAAAAAGAGTACATAGTCAAAATTTTGGTTATGTTCTCATTCTTCTACTGATGAAAACTGAAATTAGTATGAGAAAGGATCAGAAATTCTAAAAAGTTTTAATAATTTATGCATGTTTAAAAGCAGACATTATCTTGAAATGTACGTTTTGTATACTCTGTGAGAAAATATTCTAAGGTAGTTAGCCTAACGCCGACTTCTGATATACTATACACATCGGAATATATCATACGGACAAGGCAAGAGGAAAAAAGCGAAACATCATCGTACTTCGAATTTTCTTTTGAACACGAGTGAACTATAAGTGCATATTCTTGAAGTCTCACTTTTCCCCATGGGACAAGGATAACGTTATGAAATGACGATATCACTATATTACAATAATTGGAAAATAGATCTTATTAGATAATATGATCATAATCATAGCATTCTCGAGAATAAGTGAAAAAGTGATATACTCCTATGATTATCATATTTGGTTAACGTTTTTCGGTTTGATGAAAACAGCAATGGATAAATTTCGAGTATAAAAGATTCAAAAGCGACGCCATAATCGATAGATATTTTGCTTACACTGACATATAGTTTAGTATAATTACAGTATTCAGTATATCATTAGATATATCCCGAGTCATTTTACAAAGCTATATATAAGATATTTTACTTTGAGAGAGAAGAGATCCATTACATTCTTTAATAGAATTCTCTCAATATGAATATTTATAATTGAATTTTTTATCAAAAAATAGGTCATTGGTAACTTTTTTTATCATGCATAACTTCGGAATATATATTTAGTTTTAAATAATAGATTTTTGCCCTTTATCATATATGATCATATGTCTTTGTTCTACTCTCTTATATATTTCAAAGTGTTTAATTAAAACATTTTGCACTACGAACATTGGCTTGACTTATATATGAATAATATATGCGATAAAATGTGCGTCTTTATATTATCATGATAAAATTATAGGAAACATTACATATTGCAAGTATATGCTGAGTAAAAACATTCAGTTAATAAAATGAATGTTTGGATTACTGCTAATATTCTTCTAAATCTTATAACAATGATTAATTCAATTTTAACAATACTTATTTGTTTATTTGTTCTTATATTAATTGTTAAATTTCATCGAAAATCTCGTTCAGTACCACTTTTATTAGCTGGTCATACCTGTTCAACTTTATTAATTTCAGCATTTATGTTAGCAAGTATGGCTACTGTTAGTTTATTTGGTTATATGGGTATTCCTTTAGAACAACATGCAAATACAATATGGTGTCGTTGGCGTGGTTTTTTTATTCATGGTTTTCTTTGTGCTCTTTACGATTCGTATATGTTACAAGCAGCTTATCGTCTTTGTCGAGTTGTATTTTATCGTCGGAAACATTTACATAGTTTTCCACTTTATTCACTTCTTGTACCGACTGAATCTCTTTTTGGTGTTGTTAGTATATCACCTGTTCTATTACGTGATGATGTAATTTATCTTCCAAATGAATATTATTGTCAAACACCATTTACAAATATCCCAGCTATAACTTATATAGCTATTCGTCTTTTTGTACTTCCACTTTTATTTATTGCATTAGTTTATGTATGTTTATTAAGACATGTTCGACGAAGAAATTCATCAACAACAACAATAACAACAATGAATAATTCGAACTGTCGACGTACAAAACAAAATACTAGAGATTTAATCGTAATAAGAAGACTTCTTCTTATGTTAGGTGTTCTTATACTTCTTGGTTTACCATCGATTATTTTTTTAAGTATTTTAATTATTACTGGTTATCATATTCCTGTTACATATCGAATTGGGTGGTTATCTGTATCATTTTCACTTGTTTTTCTTGCTTATATGCTTATTCAACTAACTAGTCCATTGAGAAAAACTGTAAGACGAATTTTTCGACGTGATTCACCCAATCGAAATCGGAACAATTTATCAAATGAACAACAACAACCATTAACTAAAATATAATTTTTCTGTTTTTTGTCAAAATCTATTAAATTAATACAGATGTATGTATATATGTTCATTCGATTACGACATCGTTCTGTTCTCCTAAAGAACAAAGCACTTTGATAAACCAGACAAAATTATTATTAATAAGTTATTTAGATATTCTGAGAAAAACCATAGATAAGAACCTATTGACATTTGATTTGTTGTCTATATCTATTCAGTTTAAAGTAATTGCTTTATGATGAATTAACTATTTTTCGTTTTAATACGTTAGAAAATGTCTGCTAGTTATGTTCTTAAAAAAAGTCTAATGAACAAGAATTTTTATTAATATCTGAAACTGTCATATTCACTATAACTACTCAAATGATCATGACTTAATATATAATTAAATATTAAGTGAATGTTTTCTAACGGAAACGTTATATTTCTATTACTTGTAGATAATTAGAAATTTTTCCATTATAATTATTATTCTGAATGAATAAGTTCATGTTAAATAGTACATATTGTCTAGTGCAAGTTCGAATAAAGTTTATTACGACTATAAGAGAATTATCTGCAATATTAGACAAATTATGTAATAGTATATATTCAATTTCTTATCTATATATGATATTAGCTTAGTATCGAAATATTTAGTATAATTATATCTTAAAGTACTGAACTGTGTTTTTCTGATTGTCAGTTCAAACAATGCAACGATTCGTAAATAATGGTACGACGACTATTTATTAGAGTGTTTTTTTATGTAATATTTGATAAAAAATATTATTCTAAAGCTTAATATAAATAATTGTTTAGTGTTATTAAACATATATGTTTGTTTAAATAATTGATAGTATACTTTAAACAGAAATACAGATTAATGCATAGATTTTTTTGTAATTAAATCTCATGAGGTGAATAAATAAATAATGCTAATTAATTAATTTTTTATTTTGGGGCTCTATTGAAAAACAAATACATACGAATGTTAATAATATAATATTGCTAAATAAACAATAGAAAGTTTTTTCTTCATTCAAATCATTGTGTTGTTATATTTTCAGTATTTGTATCACTACCATCACCAATAACAGTCATATATCTAGTAAGTACTTTACGTGTTGATGGTATTCTTTCTTGTGGTTGTTCATGTAAATCATTATTTGTAACTTGTGCATGAATATTTTCTAATTCAACTGTACGATGTAAAGGTGCAAAACTCATTTGATGTGATGATGATGGTTCTGTTGACATTATAGTTATTTCTTTTCTCTATAATTGAAAATTGTATATGTGTTGACTTTATCTACTGTTCGAAATAACTTCTCATGAACGGAAATAAGAACGGCAGAATGATTTTTCTCTACTTTTTTTTGCGTTATTATGTCTATCCTCTTCAAGATTGTCACATAGTTTTACTCTCTCAATATTTCATTTAATAAGACCTAAATTATTTCCTTTTCCTTTCAATATGAATAAGACCATATTCTATTCAGCAATTAAATAGTCACAATTCTAAGAAAAGAAAAGAAAAGAACAGAAAAAGAAAGAAAATCTAATTAATCTTATTCTTCTTTAACTCTTATAAACTATTTCAGAATTGATATAGATTAATCGATTATATATGAATAAATATGCAAACGATTTATCAGTGTGTATTAAAAATCAAAGAAGAAAAATAACTTCTTAATGGAAAATAAATCATAGAACAGGAAATAAACACTATGAATACAATGAATAAAAATAGAAAGGTTTATATGAGGAAAAAAACAAAATTTAAGGTAATCGGGTACATTATAGATTCAAGAAGGGATCAATAATTTTAGCTTAAAGTCGAAACAGTGTACGAAATGAATACAAACAACCTGTCATTATTGATTGAAGAAAAAAAAAATAAGTGAAAATTCCCACCTCTTACTTCAAGAGTATGACAATCTAAGTCAATTCTGTTTCACTACTATAATGAGCTGTTATTTGCATACAAAAATAAAGTTATATATAGATTATATTATTAATATAGAGCAATCTTTCAGTTTTAACAATGTTGATATAATGATTCATTCACAAAAAATCAATAAAAAGAAAAAGACTTTCTGTTTAATCTACTACGACGTGTGTATTATTGTACTAAAAGTAAACATATCTAATTTCTATGAATCCATCGCTATGACGTATATTGAGAAGTATACAATGTGAATAATTTATAGCAAAAAATATGAATACTATACATGTGATTTATCTATAAGCTGTTGTATTTGTATTCACGTAAGCGAGTTATTCGCTTTAAGGACTTGTGTAGGACTATGTAGATTTATAAATGTGTTAAAAAAATTGTATTGTTAAATATACATATATAAGCATCACAGCTTGACATTCCGTCTTAAGGTCTAATTAAAATATAGAATTTTTAGAATATCAGCGACACACATTTTGTGGAAATCTTATAATTGAGATTTTTATCTACGCAAAGTTTCAATTGATTAATCAAAAATATAAATATTTCGAATTTTTATTTGAGAACCATATTTCATTTATAGATATAAGACTTAGTTAGATATATGTCGTAGTATTCTAAACTAAAAATTGTGTAAACCATGTTTTGTAAGATTGTGACTAAAAAGGTATTACGCTTCGTACTCTATCACAATACAAAAAAA